ATTTTCAGAAGTGTTTTGCCCTGGCCTTCTTCTTCCTAGAGCTGAGAGAGAGGGGTGGCTCAAGGTCACCCAGCTGGCTTTGTGCCTAAGGTGGGACTCAAATTCATGGTCTCCTGGTTTCTAGCCTGGGGCCTAAACCAGTGTTCCTCAACCTCAGCAACTTGAAGATGGGTGGACCTCAACTCCTAGAATTCCCCAGGGGAATTCTGGGAGTTGAGGTCCACCCATCTTCAAGTTGCTGAGGTTGAGGAACACTGGTTTAGGCCCCAGGCTAGAAACCAGGAGACCATGAATTTGAGTCCCACCTTAGGCACAAAGCCAGCTGGGTGACCTTGAGCCACCCCTCTCTCTCAGCTCTAGGAAGAAGAAGGCCAGGGCAAAACACTTCTGAAAATGCTGCCAAGAAATCTTCAGGGGCTTCTCTGTGTAGTTGCCAAGAATCTTGACTTGAAGGCACACACACACACACACACACAACCCACACCTTAAATATTTTCCCCTTCTCACGCATTAAAAATTGCACACAGGTGTCAATTTGGAAAGGATTCCAAGGCACCAAGGTCTTTGAAAGCCTTACCTGGCTCGGGGGCAGATTTTTTTATCCCCCCAGGTAGACCAGACCAGAAAACAACTCCACAGGAAGGCTAAAACTACGTTTATTGAGATGATCTCTAATAACAGAATCTTACAAGTCTGATTGTGCTGAACCTCCTGCTCCTTCTTACAGTTCAGTGAATCAGGAAGGGTTCTGCCCAAGCTGCTTCTGAATGTTATCTCATTCTGGACGTAAAAATGTTTCAGTCCCTTTTGCCTAATGAACAATTCCCACATATTTCCATCAGGGTCGTGTCCGTTACTCTCTACAATTCTGCACACCCTGGAGTGAACCAATCAGAGTAATCTAGAATAGAGTGGTTCAAGATCCCAATTCCTAGATCCTTGGCTCACATGGTTGCCCTCCACAGCTGCCACGAAGTCACAGAAAAGAAGCATTGGGTTTAGCATATTCTCAAAAGAAGCTTTATATATTCCTGGGCCCACCGCAATTTTTCCTCTTTGAACTGGGGGCTTTTGTTTAGGAAGGAGAGCATCAAAAAAGTCAAGAGGGCAGCCACACATGCTTAATCAAAATCCCACTCAATTTTTTAGTACGGCCTGTCTGTGGCATGTGTGAAAAGGCGAAGGGCTTTGATCATCCAGTTGTGGCTGCATCTGGAATGTTTCGCAGAGGTTCTTGCTTCCAATTCTCATTACTGCATAACTCTAATCTATATTTTTAACGCATTTGTTGGAATCAAGATATCTGTATAGCTGCTCTTGTAACTAGCTAAAATCTGAAGCCAAGATTTGTTCTTGGCTTCCAGTTCTGGCATGTAGGAGAGCAATAGACCAAGGATTCTGATTCTGATTAATGTTAATCTAAAAGGGCAAGGAAGTCAGAGGAGGAGGGAAGACGGAGCAACAAACAAATTCTATCTTATGGCTGGGGGGGGGCTTTCCGGCTGTGTGGGCGTGTTCTTTGAGTTTTGTTTTCTTAAGTTTCTCCACCACCTGTGACCG